AATATGCACAAGACTATTTTGAAAAAGCTCACCAACGCCCTGAACGACCTCCCTTGTTAGGTGCAGCCTAGAGAGTTTGCCAAATTATTGGTAGGTACGTTTGACTGCGCCCTTTCGAAGGCTGAAACGGCCTTCATTCTGTGCTGGTGGCCGACCTATATGTTGCCCGCCTTGGAATTAAAAAACAACTTCAGCTTGCAAGCGCTGATACAAACGGGATACTCTGCTATAGCGAGCGACATCCTTATTGAATACAACGCCTGGTGTTTAGCTCGCCTCGACGACGGCGGAGGTGGCCTAATCTAGAACCTATAAATATGGGATGTTGAAGTAGTGAACTCGATGGACGGCAGGAAAGGCGTCAACACTACCGTGGAACTTTGAACATGCAGGGGATGGAAGGAAGAGACCTGGGGGTGATCGTAGAGTCTATAAGGCTATTAACAAATATAGATAGCAAAACTGCAACGTGAATTCCACAAGCAGCTTATGAACAGGTAACGTTTGTAGTGGTGCAGTAGGGTGGAGGTTTGGTGGTGAGCTGTGAAGGATAACCAAGGAATCGCATAAGTCCGATCAAGTCCTGGTGGTTCAGTGGTAAGGTTCTCGATTCGCAGGCACAGGATGCTGGTTCGATTCCCGGAGGCAGGAACGTTTTGTTCTTACCTCATTTTTTTACTTGCGTACGCAATAACACCTGGCCATCACTTGATTCACGTTCTTGGCGTCTATTTACTGCGGAACTTTTTGTGCGTGATTTACTTCATTGACAATACCAGCCGGCGCTACATAGCTCATACAACCTCTGGATGTGTTCTTTTTTGGCCCCATGAAAAATGTTATGAAACGGATTAGGACCTCGGCGATGGTGAATAATGTGGCGTTCAACATGACCCACAGAGACAACATACTGAAGGTGTTATCGCAAGTGTACCGGATGTTTTGTGCCCCGAGATTCTCTAATTTTCTGAAATACTCGTGGTACAAAGCAGGTTACATTGATCATCATCCCAGGAGCTTTTGTTACTCCTGGTGACTACTTGTTCAACCTTGAAACGTCTGACTGTTTCATTAACGATTGTAGAGAAACAGCATCCATTAGATGCGCAGTTTGTGAGCAGCATATCTGCTTCACTCATTTTTTTTCGAGTTGCTTCATCAGTATGGAAGCATGGGCAGCAGTTTAGTGTGCAGATATTTTCAGTGTTACCAATGAAGTAAATCACGCACAAAAGTTCCGCAGTAAATAGACGCCAAGAACGTGAATCAAGTGATGGCCAGGTGTTAATCCGTACGCAAGTCAAAAAATCAGGTAAAAACCAATGGTGCAAAAACTTCCGCGCCTCCGGGAATCGAACCAGCATGCTGTGCCTGCGAAGCGAGAACCTTACCACTGAACCACCAGGACTCGATTGCACGTATGCGATTCCTTGATTATCCTTCACAGCTCACCACCAAGCCTCCACCCTACTGCACCATTACAAACTTTACCTGCTCATAAGTTGCTTGTGAAATGCAGGTTGCAGTTTTGCTATCTATATTTGTAATAACCTCATAGACCACCCAAGTCTCTATTCAAAGTTCCAGTAAGTTGACGGCCCTCTCTGCTGAGGAACTTTTAAGCTTTGAAAGCTTCCACAACGTCATGATATACCCACTGGTACTACTACTAGTTGATACTACTTCCTATATGCTTGAATATAAAACGAAGAAAAAACTAACGGTAGCCGTCAAGGCGATTCACATGCCATTTGTGGGAACTTCAAACCCGTGTTCACTGCGTCGTTGACGGAATACACCGTTTCAGGCGATGGGTAAAAGTCTGAGTCCGGTCCTTTAACTCCAATCGTATTCTGTGAAGAACTCATCTAAACAATCAGTTGTGAAGCTCAAGTCATTCCCACAATAATAGGAAAATCTGAGAGGGCTGGAACATATTGAACTACATCAGCCATCAGGTTCCGCGATTATTATGCCACGACAAACCTGTGGAGATGAGGTAAACATTGCATCAATACCATACGGAAACAGAACTTCATGTGAGGATAGACTTTTATGAGAGTACCTTCGACTCATTTTCCTTCCTTCCATTGGAACACCTAAAATCCAACAATCGGTGCTGAAGGCATTGAAGCAGAGCGCGCACATCGCAGTTATTTGCAATGATGTGAAACGAACGCTGAGGCACTGTTGAACGTTCGGCATCGACTTCGTTTGCATTTTCACCGTAAAGATTTGGTAGAGCATCTGAGTTGTGATATCGTGTCGAAAATTCAGCTGCGATTTCTTTCGATTTCTGAATGGACCCTTTTCACTGTGTCAAAAGATGACAAGCAATATATCTATCTGACACTGCAGTGAGACTTGAATATGTCTTCTGCGAAGCGTCACTAACCGGTTTTTCAAGCAATGCAAATTTTGAGCACTTCCACATCTCATTCAACGGGGATGAATTTTTTACGGAGCTAGCACTAGTTTGCAGCCTTCTTTGTGACTGATGAAATAAAAACTCCCCGAGTCGTTCACCTCATTGACGACTTCTTTGGGCCTTGAACACTTTTTCGAGCCTTAAGCCGTTTTTCGGGTCTACAAAATCACACATACACAGCCTATACCAGCAACAATCTGAGTTCTTCACATAGTACGATTGGAGTGAGAACCAGACTCAGATTTTTACCCATACCATCGTAGTCGCTGCTCTCGTGCCTTCAGCTGGATCGGAGCCGTCTGTGTGACCGCCCTGACGTCCTCGTTTCTGACTCTGTCGAGTCGTGTCCAGCCGCAGGCCCATCTCAGCATCCTCATTTCAGCTGGAGCCCTTTCATGGTTCTTGCATACAGTACTCACTGCCGTAGAACATTGTAACTCCTTATCGCAGCCCGATACACCTTGCCCTTGAACGTTCTCGAGCACCGCCGGTCGCAGAGGATGCCCGTGAGCCCTACAATTTATCTAGGCTGCATAGATTCGGCCTTTAGCGCATGTCCACACTACCATCACCTGTGATGTCGCTTTCCAGGTACTAGAAGTCCTTCACCCTTCCAAAGCTTTCACCATGGCCTTGTGCGATGGGTTCGGTGCACTCTTGAGTTCAAGAACTTGGTCTTCTTCACGTTCAGCCGGAGTCCATTCTCAGCGAGCACATCCTGCCACCGCTGCACCTTGTCCTGGAGTTCTTCCCTGCTGTCCGCTATCAGGGCGATGTCGTCAGCGTAGAGGATGGTTTTCAGTGGCCCCTCCATGAGTTCTTTTGCCATGACATCTAGAGTCAGGAGGAAGAGGAACGGGCTGAGGGCTGATCCTTGGTAAGTCTCCACCGTGATGTTTACCTGCTTTGTCAAGCCATGCGGCGTACCTACCGCCGCCTTGGGCCCCACTGTCTTCGGAGACACGGTGCTCTGTATTGTTCCGTTCTCTGAGATCTCTCCAGACAGGCCAAGGCAGGCGATCGAATGCCTTCTCAAGGTCCAGGAAGGCTAGGTAGCAGGGTCGCCGCTTCTCTCGGTACTTCTCCATCAGCTGTCTGGCGATGAAGATGGCATCATGGTGGACCTTCGGGCATGAAGCCGAACTGCTCCTGTGAGATAGGTACAAGTTCCCTTAGCCTTGTGTTGACCAGGCGCTCGTACAGCTTCATGGTATGGGGAGTCAACTTGATGCCGCGGTAGTTGGAGCACTCCGTCGCGTCCCCTTTCTGTTTGAAGATGGGGACGATTGTGCTGCTCCTCCACGCATTCGGCATCCTTCCTTCAGCTGTTACGTTGTTTAGGAAGTGCGTGAGCCAACTTACCCCATGCTCTTAAAGGGCTCTTCATGCCTCTATCGGTACCCCTCTGATCCCACTGCTTTCCCACCTTCATTCTTCCTAGCTCTCGGCGGACTTCATCCTCCGTCCAGGGAGTGATGGGACCTGCCGTCGCCTCTATCTGTGGGCTATCCTTGCGAGGGAATTCTTCGTTCAGAGTCCCTCGAAGTATTTATTCCCATCTCTTTCTGACTTCGACCGGTTTCCTAAAAATGCCATCGCCACGGCTCTTCACGACCGTTGCTACCCGAAAGTCTTGAGCCACGCGATGAGGGGGTTTAGCCAGGGAAAGACGAACTTGTCCCCTTCTCGGCCCTCCAGCTTCTCGTACAGGGCGTCCATTTCCGTATTCTTAGCCTTTACAACGGCTGCCTTAGCAATTCGCTTGTAGACAGCTAAGTCTTCGGGGCTCCTTGTCTTTTGCCAGCGTTTGTATGCTTCCTTCTTGCTTGACGATCCCCTGGACTTCCTCGTTCCAGAACCAGGCTGCCTTGTCTCCTCTGATACCACCTCGCGTCTCTCCCAGGACTTCCTTTGCACACTGTAGGATGACCTCTGCGTCGGTCCAGGTGTCCTGGACTGGCCCATGTGGGTCTGGGAGCCCAGCCTCCAGTATTCTTCGGCCGAGGCTATCCTTTTCTACCTTGCGCATTTTCCACCACCGAATTCTTCGCTCTGCTCTCACCCTTGGGGTCTATGGCGATGTCTGCCAGGAGAGGCCTGTGCTGAGGGCCCAGCTCTTCCCCAGGCAGTACCTTGATATCCTTGACGGTTTTGAGAGACGATCTTCTGACCAGGACATGGTCGATTTCCGTTTGTCTCCCTCCACTGCTGTAGGTTATCTTCTGGTCTTCCTTTTCGCGAAGAACGGTGCTGCAGACCGCTAGGTCGTAGGCTGTTGCCGAGCCAAGACCCTTCCTGCCTCGGTGTTCTTCGTTCCTATCCCCCTGCCTCCATGCACCCTTCCTATGCCCTTTCTTTCACTACCGACGTCGCAGTTCACATTATCTGCTATGGTGAGATAGTCACCCTCTGAAATCGACCCTATGGGTTCGTCCAGTGTCAGATATAACTCACCAGTCGGCTCGCCGGCTAACGCCGGCGCGCCTCCTTCTGATACGGCCCGGCTGCGCCGGGCGCGCGGCTTCGCCGCGCGTATTTTCTTTCACATATTTCTAGACTCAACTGATATCCGCCTTTTGTTCTGTACTCCACTTTTTTCCGGTGTCTGAAGTACTCTTGAGCTATTTTACAGATTCTTCGTCTGACTCCGCCCACCTCGAGAGCCCGCCCCAATGTTTGTGCCCCACAATCCTCACCGACGACCCTCTACTGACCTTAATCGACGTTTTTTTCCGGTCTTTGAAGTGCAAGCTTACAAACTTACAAACTTAACAAACAAACAGACAAAGCGAATTATATATATATATATATATATATATATATATATATATATATATATATATATATATATATATATATATATATATATATATATATATATATATATATATATATATATATATATATATATATATATATATATATATATATATATATATATATATATATATATACAGGGGGGGCCAAAAAAAGTCATTTTGCCTCCATGACTTTCAAGGCGCTATAAGTTACACTTTATTAAATTTTTATCGGACATTTTTACTACCATATTAAAGAGCACATTAAATACTATAATGATACTCCGCCACAGCCTTCTGGAGGAGCGCCATCGAGAGATTCGGCCGCGCGAAAGTGAGTGGGTACCGGAGTTGAGCGAGATCGTTGATTTCTCCGCCACCGTAGACCACCCTATTGAACTCCGCCCGAACCGGGTAATTGAGGGGATACAGGTCAGGTGACCTACTTGGATATTCTACCTTCTTTAGGTATTCAGCTCCCTTCCATTCCAAGTAGGCGGGAGTTTTTCCAAAACCCTTCGATTCCATGTGGTGGCACCCAAACCTGTAGCAGCACAAGGTCTCCAAGAAGGTACGGGCGACCACATGTAGGGAGGATATTCTTCTCGAGTTACTTGATGTAACCGCCAGCGCTCACCTTCAGTCGGGGTCTACAAAGAAAATATCGGTCTTCCCCTTTCCAGGTACCCCGGTCCATACCATCAACTCGCGCCTCGGCGAATACGGTGAAGATGATGTCCTAGACCGTAGCGACGTTGCCGTAGCTGCTCGATGTGGGAGGTCTTGCAGATCAAGAGTACTGACCTCCAGGTAGCTATCTGTGGATGACTTCATTCAAGAAGTTTCGCAGCTGTTTGGAGGCGACGTGAATTCCAAAGGTGTTCTCCAGTCAGGCCGCGACTGGAGATGACTTCATATTTTGGCGTACATGAAGGCGATTGGCGGCAGCGTGCTCCAGCTTATAGAGGAAGATCTTGGGTATCTTCCACTCTGGTACTCATATCCACTTCCCCTGTCTGGGCTGCGAAAACTTCGTTGATATGTGGCTCGGCCGAAATGACTTTTTTTTGGCCCCCCCTGTATATATATATATATATATATATATATATATATATATATATATATATATATATATATATATATATATATATATATATATATATATATATATATATATATATATATATATACATATGGGATGATCCTTCTCCAGCTCTGTGCGACAGGATTGTGTGCGTACACGGTCAGTACTGTCCAGTACCCCTCCTTCGTGTCCATTCTCACTCCCATGATCCGATCACTGATCCTGTTCACAGAGGAGACGCAGTCCTTGAGGGATTCTGCCACCGCTATGGCCACGCCATTCCGTTGGTTATCTTCCATTGCAGAAGTGTTCCATCACTCACCAATCTTGCGGGCCTGCTGCATTTCCATCGCGTTTCCTGAAGGCATAGGACTTGGATATTCCTGCGTCTCATGAGGTCGGCAACCTCACGAGACTTCCCGGTAAGCGACCCCACGTTCAGGGTCCCAATTCGAACTAGCTTCTTTGGCCGAGGTCGTTCACCCCTCGGTAGCCCTCGCATACTGACCACAGAACTCGGGCGAGGGTTCTGCGCGCCACTTCCGGGTGACGTCCTAGCTTTAACACTGATACTTTTGCGACTTGTCATGTTGTTGTGACGGGTTCCTCCATCAGCCGGCCTGTCAACCTGGGCCTGACGCTGGTATCGTCCCCATTTTTGCAATTTTTGCAAGGCAGGTTTGTGCCTCGGCAGGGATCGAACTCGTGGCTCAGAGTGAGACATGAGCCTACACTCTTAACCACTCGGCTATTCCCGCCACACATCATAGACAGTTATGTACAATAAATACTCAGCACTAGAGAATAGAAAGCATAGAGATCCTTTCTCTCTCATACGAATACTGATACTTGAGCTATTAGGTTGGCGGAAGTTCTGTCACTCTTTTCCGAACTCAAATTACTTGCCCATTACCAAGAGTGGTAACCGGTAATGTAAGCTCTTATACAACAAGGAGTGGTCTCTCTGTTAGTACCACTCGCTTGCCTCTTGCTCCTTCTTCTGCAATATGCACAAGGATTTTATCCGCTACCATCAGCCCCGACCCATCCAACAACTTCCACAAACTATTTCACCCACCACCCTGACGCCAGCGTGTTAGCTGCAGATGCCAAATTGATGGAGC